TGTAAATTTTGGTCAATGACATGAGACAAAGTATATGTGAACTGCTATATGAAAAGTGAATTTACTCTGTAAATCTTCACCCAAATCAAAATAAAATTAAAAAAAAGAAAAGAAAGAAAAAAAAATTCTGCAGTTTATCACCTTTCCATTTGTAATTCAGACTTACTCACTTCAAATATTTGTCCCTCATATCATTTAAGAATTTTGTTCACATTGAATCCAGTTCTCATCCTTGTTCTATGAGCGCTAACCCATTACATGGACAAGAATTCTGAGGCAGTGAAGATTTCACATATGACTCAACAATAATGAAATCCAGATTTTTACAGGCTAAAACGTTGACCCAAGAAAAAAAACAGTGATGAGAGACCACAGTCACTGGATATGATCCAAATTCTTTGCCCTGTTCAGTTGACCATCTCCATTGTTTTCTGTGCCTGCAATCCCATAGTCCTTTGTAGGCCACTTATCTCCGCACCAACAATGAAAGCAGATGGTCCCTTGCTGCTATTCTCCCTCGATCTGCAGCAGAGTTAATTGGCTCCTTTCATTGTGAAATGAAAGCCGCTCAATAGGACTAAATTTCACTTAATTCACTTACAAATTATCTCATCATCAATCCTTGGACACACAGAGAAATCATGTTCTGTCTTTCCTTTATCTAGAAATAATTACATGTGCCTACTATTTACAGGATGACTAGGAAGGCCAGTTCCTTCTGCTCTTAATGGTCCTTCTTAAACTATTCTTTGTGTCTAAGTTATTTTATCATGATATAATAGGTACATATGCCCCTGGAGCTGAAAGCTTCAAATTTAGTTTTAGGAAGAGAGGATGCATGCCTGAGGGTGTTTTTGTTTTTGTTTTTGTTTTTTTCAGATATTTGTCAAAAGAAAAGTTTTACCAGTATTATCATTTGGAATATTAGTTGGTTTATAGATTTATGAGTTCATTTCTAATGCAACTAGAAAAGTACTCCTTCAAAAACAGAATAGAGGTTGATATGTTATTGTTGTTGTTGTTGTTGTTGT